AGGAGGCAGGAGGAGGAGGAGGAGGAGGAGGAGGAGGAGGAGGAGGAGGAGGAAAAGGAGAGAGGGGGAGGGGGACGGTGCCAGGCGCCCTTGGGCGCCGAGGAGCTGGCCCCGCTGCTTGCGGCGGGTGGCCTCTGCTCCCCGTGGATTCGCCCCGCGGCGAGGGGCGAGGGGGAGGAGGACGGGGAGAGGATGGAGGGAGGAGGGAGGTGGGAGGAGGGTGGAGGGATGGAGGGAGGGAAGGAGGGCGGGAGGGAGCGGAAGAGGGAGGGAGGGAGGGAGGGAGGGAGAGAGAGAAGGAGGGAGGGAGTGAGGGAGGAGAAGGAGGAGGAGGAGGAGGAGGAGGAGGAGGAGGAGGAAGACGAGGAAACAGAGGAGAAGGAGGAGGAAGAGGAGGAGGAGGAGGAGGAGGAGGAGGAGGAGGAGGAGGAGGAGGAGTAGGAGGAGGAAGAGGGAGGAAAAGCAGGAGGTGATTACGAGCAGTACAACCAACTTTACAACTGGCAAGGCCAGTGTTCAAATACGAAACCCAACCCAATTTTAAGAAGCAGTAGCCACACCATTTAGTAACCATACTCCTAGTATTAAGTCGGGCATGTCCCTCTACACTATGAGTATTGAGCAAGAATAGAAGCATAGTTTTGTGACGATTTTTCATGCCATGTTCGAAATACTCTCATGATGGTCTGGACATGTTTCCTGGATACTGGCTAGGCGAACGTACGCTGTACGCGGTAGGAAAGCACGATGCGCCGCGTGGCGCAGCCATTATTCGTTTCGCCGCACTTGGTGGCGGCAGCGCGCGCTATCGCGTTTGAGCAGAGGCGTGCGTCTTTGGCGATGTGGCTTGTGCAACGTGCACAATGGGGGTCGACCGCGCGCTACCATCGTGGACTGGATGGCGCCGCGCTGCGATTAGATTCGCGCGCAGCGTGAGCCATTCGACGAGTACCCTCAGGGCAGCCGACAGCGTCCCTGCAGATTTGGACCCCTGCTTTTTTCCATCTTGTTTCGCATGTCCACAGAATCCGCCCGATGAGTCTTTGTGGCCGCTGGCATTCACGATTTCGTTGCAAAGCTCCAGTCTCCCCCCCTCTTTACCTCCTCGTTCCTGCGCGCCATCCCTGTGCATCCTCCCCACCCTGCTCCTCTCAGTAAGGGTGGCGCGCATGAGCCGGCGCCTCCCGCGTTCGGCCAGTGGGTTTCTTTTGGCAACCACGTGGGGTATATTGCGCAAGGGCATAACCTTCGTGATGCCATCCATCATAGAGTAGACATGAATGGAGCAGAGGCTGAGATGAAGCACGGTCGGTGTGGACTGGATGTTGCCCGTGATTTAGATTGACTGCAGTTGGGCGCAGGATAAGCTTAGAGCCAGTTCCGAGTAGGGCAGAATTGGGGTCGGCGTTGGAATGTCATGTAGAGTATCGCCAGTTCTTATATCCAAGGGAAGAGGGGGTTTGCATGTGCCGTTGTAGCGGGGTAGAGCAGATACGGATACAATTCGGCGCGTGATGGGGCAACATACGATAGGGGCTACATGTGCACAGTCGTATATAAACTTATAAGCGCAGCAAACTTAGTCTTGTCCATTGGATCGGTAAGGTGGTCGCGCGGATCGCGCAGAGCCGAGTGTAGGGCGCTTCCGACTGCGGCGGAACAAGTATGCGTATTCGCACACGCGTGCGCGTCTATACACATATGCTCACATGCGCGGATCGGTGGGCCCAGTGCGCGCGTGGTGAAGCGGGGCCGGAGCCTGCGGCGCGCCCTAGTCGTCGCCGGCGCCGTCGGGGCGTCCAGAGCACGGACAGGCGCCGTCGCCAGCTCGGCAGTAGCGCCTCGGGTGCCCAGACCGAGTGTCCGACATACCCGTGGGTAAACAAAATATTCCAGCACAGGATGTTTCGCGCTCGCCGACCGCGCAAGATACCCCACTGGAGGACTCCAAGCACAGTGCGCGCGCAACGTGCTCCAACAATGCATCCCGCAGGGCTCAACTACGAGGAACATGTTCCCCGCAGACTTCCAATATTCCGACGTGCTCCAAACCAAACTACACCCGCTGATTTCAGACGCTCAAAATTATTCACTGCGTGGGGATCCCCATATGTGCATCTCCTTGCTGGCGCTCCCTTGGTGGTGGGACTCGGTGAGGACGAATCTGGATTTAAGTGTGACTGAGCTGCCTCTCTCTCTGCTCTCTCTGCTCTCTCTGTCTGCCTCTCTTTCCCTGCCTCTCTCTCTCTCTCTGCCTCTCTCTCTGCCTCTCTCTCTCTGCCTCTCTCTCTCTCTCTCTCTGCCTCTCTCTCTGTGCCTCTCTCTCTCTGCCTCTATCTCTGCCTCTCTCTCTCTCTCTCTCCTCTCTCTCTTCTCTCTATTCTCTCTCTGCTCTCTCCTCTCTCTCTCACTCTCCCTCTCTCTCTCTCTCTCGCTCTCTCTCTTCTCTTCTCTTCTCTTTCTCTCTCTCTCTATCTCTCTCTCTCTCTCTCTTTCTCTCTCTATCTTTCGCTCTCTCTCTCTCTCTTCTCTCTCTCTCTCTCTTTCGCTCTCTCGCTCTCTCTTGCTCTCTCTCGCTCTCTGTCGCTCTCTCTCGCTCTCTCTCTCTCTCTCTCTCTCGCTCTCACTCGCTCTCTCTCGCTCTCTCTCGCTCTCCCTCGCTCTCTCCCGCTCTCTCTCTCTCTCTCTCTGCTCTCTTCTCTCTCTCTCTCTCGCTCTCTCCCGCTATCTCTCTCTATCTCTCTCTCTCTCTCTCTCTCTCCTCTCTCTCTCTCTCTCTCTCTCTCTCCTCCCCCCCCCTCTCTCCCACTTTCTCACTTTCTCTCTCTGCTCTCTCCTCTCTCTCTCTCTCTCTCTCTTCTATTTCTATCTCTCTCTCTCTTCTCTCTCTCTTTCTTCTCTCTTCTCTCTCTCTCTCTTCTCTCTTCTCTCTTCTCTCTTTCTCTCGCTGTTCCTCTCTCAACTCCCCCTCTCTTCTCTCTCTCCGCTCTCTCTCCCTCTCTATCCTCGCTCCTCTCTCGCTCTCTCTCTCTCTCTCTCTCCTCTCTTTCTCCTCTCACGTCTCTTCTCCTCTCTCGCGAGCGGTCTCGTGAGATCAGCCAGGGTGGCTCCCCCTTGGGGCTCCCAAATGATGCCCCTGGCAGCGTTTTGTGACCATGAGGCTCTCAAGAGATACATGTTTGGGGGCCAAACGGCAATTCTAGCTGAGACGTCCCACCAAAATCGGCGCGAACGGGCTCGTGAGATCAGCCAGGGTGGCTCCCCCTTGGGGCTCCCAAATGATGCCCCTGGCAGCGTTTTGTGACCATGAGGCTCTCAAGAGATACATGTTGGGGAGGCCAAACGGCAATTCTAGCTGAGACGTCCCACCAAAATCGGCGCGAACGGGCTCGTGAGATCAGCCAGGGTGGCTCCCCCTTGGGGCTCCCAAATGATGCCCCTGGCAGCGTTTTGCGACCATGAGGCTCTCAAGAGATACATGTTGGGGGCGCCAAACGGCAATTCTAGCTGAGACGTCCCACCAAAATCGGCGCGAACGGGCTCGTGAGATCAGCCAGGGTGGCTCCCCCTTGGGGCTCCCAAATGATGCCCCTGGCAGCGTTTTGTGACCATGAGGCTCTCAAGAGATACATGTTGGGGGCGCCAAACGGCAATTCTAGCTGAGACGTCCCACCAAAATCGGCGCGAACGGGCTCGTGAGATCAGCCAGGGTGGCTCCCCTTGGGGCTCCCAAATGATGCCCCTGGCAGCGTTTTGTGACCATGAGGCTCTCAAGAGATACATGTTGGGGAGGCCAAACGGCAATTCTAGCTGAGGCGTCCCACCAAAATCGGCGCGAACGGGCTCGTGAGATCAGCCAGGGTGGCTCCCCCTTGGGGCTCCCAAATGATGCCCCTGGCAGCGTTTTGTGACCATGAGGCTCTCAAGAGATACATGTTGGGGGCGCCAAACGGCAATTCTAGCTGAGACGTCCCACCAAACGGCCGCGAACGGGCGTGAGATCAGCCAGGGTGGCTCCCCCTTGGGGCTCCCCCCTGCAGCGTTTTGACCATGATCTCAAAAGCCCAAACGGCAATTCGAGCTGAGCGCCCTTCGGGCGAACTTCGTGAGATCAGCCAGGGTGGCCATTGGGGCTCCCAATGATGCCCTGGCAGCGTTTTGCGACCATGAGGCTCTCAGAGATACATGTTGGGGGCGCCAAACGCAATTCTAGCTGAGAGACGTCCCACCAAAATCGGCGCGAACGGGCTCGTGAGATCAGCCAGGGTGGCTCCCCCCTTGGGGCTCCCAAATGATGCCCCTGGCAGCGTTTTGTGACCATGAGGCTCTCAAGAGATACATGTTGGGGGCGCCAAACGGCAATTCTAGCTGAGACGTCCCACCAAAATCGGCGCGAACGGGCTCGTGAGATCAGCCAGGGTGGCTCCCCCTTGGGGCTCCCAAGTGATGCCCCTGGCAGCGTTTTGTGATCATGAGAGAGTGTGAGTGTGAGCTTAACTTATCTTATCTTATCTTGAAATCTCTTCTTATCATATCTTGTGCTATCTTATCTTATCTTGTAGTATATTATCTTGTCTTGTCTTATCTGGTGATTATCCTACCTTGTCATATATCTTATCTTACCTTATCATATCTTGTGCTATCTTATCTTATCTTGTAGTATCGTATCTTGTCTTGTCTTATCTGGTGATTATCATTGGGAGGAGGGAGGCGCGAGCGGGAGGAAGAAGGAGGAGGAGGAGTGGGAGGCGTCAGAGTAATAACAAGAACCCCAATCCTTAGGATATGGGGAAATACTCCCACAAGATTCAGAACATATCCCAGAACACTCCAGAGACACTGCGGCGCCATTTGCGAAATTCCCAAAGATACTTCAGCGCCATCGGAGAAATTCCAAAATACTCCAAATGCAATCCACTGCCATCTGCGAAATTTCAGAAGACTCCAAGGATGTTCTAATTCCATGTGCGAATATTTCAAACTACTCCAAAGACGCGCCAGGGCTCTTTGCGAGTTAAAATAATACTCCGAATATAGTTTCCCCTGCCATGTGCGAAATTTCAAAAAAAAAAAAAGAGCAGATATGACCCCGCGGCGACCTCTGAGGTTTCAAAATGCCGCAGGCGACGCTCGCCGACCATCTGCG